TCGGCAGATTGTGTACAGGAAGCCATCGACACAGAGGATGCTCACCCTTARGGACTGGGCAGCTGAAGTGCTGGCTTCACAAAGGAGGGGGTCGTCTTCAGGGACAGGTGAGGCCTGGCCCCAGGTCCCAGGGAAAGCCGATCTGCTACCCCAGCCCTTCYCTGAGCCCTTCCTCCTGGGAGTATCCCCTCTGCTGTCCATGGCCAGCGCTGCTCCTGGGGACCCGCAAACCCCTGCTGCTCCTGGGGCCCAGGCCCCTCTTCCGGAGGCCAGTCTCCCGYGAGCTCGAAGCCCTCCCTGGAGATAGCTGCTCACCGCTGAGCGTTTCCCGGGAGGGGAACAGGTTCCACCTGACAGAAGGATTTCTTTCTGAATTTCCCAGATAACGGGCCTCGCTCTTCCCTCCTCTGCCGTCCAGACGGGCATCCAGACCCCGTGTGCGCCTCGAGGAGGGTGGAATGCTCTTCCCGGTTCTTGACTTTGGCCCTGAGCCTTGCCTTGGCCTTGGGACGTCGGTGATCTGACCAGAGAGGCCTGAAGTAGATGGTGAAATACCTGGGACCGCGGTGCCCTTTGAACCCTGGTCTTCTGCAGCCATGGCCCCCGGACCCCGCATTGTCACAGCTGCACTCGGAGCTCGGCTCCTGGTGCGAGTTCCTCCTGCCATGGCTCCAGCGCCACCCCTGCGTCCCTCCCGGTCTCTGCAGATCAGGAGTCTGCACGGCAGGGGCCCCTGCAGGGGAGTCCCCAGGCTGAGGCCCTGGGGTGGTCAGGGCTGGGGCTCATCTGGAGGCTGGACTGGGGGGAACCGGCCCCCGGGTTGGCTGGGAGGGTGGCATCGGCTCCTTGCCCTCGAGGAGTGAGCGTCCCCTTCCTTGCTGGCTCTTGGACACGGGTCCCCCCAGCTCCTAGARGGTGTCCTCACCTGTAGGCCACGCGGTCCTCTCCCAGCATGGCAGCCCACTGTGTTCAGCCATCGGCTCCAGGCTTCCGTGGTGGCCTCTGGTGACACGTGACACCGTCACCAGGGTGAGGCCTTTCCCGTCACCCTTGCCAGGTGTGCAGCTGCCGAGAACCTGGGGTGGCCAGACCCCAGCAGCCCCCAGCCCGCAGAAGGGAGAGCCAGCGGTCATGGGCCCAGGTGGCGGGTGATCTTCTTTTCCAGAGCACGTCCTCCTGCTCCCGCGGATCCAGATCCGTGCTGGGAGGGGGGCCGCCACAGTGGACRGAGCTTTGTTTGGGTTCCAGGTGAATCTGAATTTCAACCTCGGTTCCTCCCATTTCTAGCTGGGGGCCCGGGGACAATGACCTCACTCCCTGGGTCCATTTCCTCATCTGTRTAATGGGACCCGCGAGGCCTGCCGTGTCCCGATGGWGGAGGCCACAGCTCCGGATGTGCGGCAGGACCGCAGCCCCTCTGCCCATCTGCCCAGGGGAAGCAGGTGGAGAGGATTCTGGACAGGGCCCTGTGCCGTGCTGCCTGGCTAGTGTCACCGCTGGGGAGGACGGTGGCCTGCAGGAGTCTCTGACCCTGGGTGGACTCTCAGTGTGAGCCGGATGGCAGGAGGCCGCCCTGCCAGGCTCCTGTGGGCACCACCCCCAGGGAAGGCCCCGCTCCAGCCCTCCAGCACCTTGGTGCTAACATGTGACCTGGCCCGCTTCTCCCCACCACTGACCCGTCACGTGACTTGGGCCAGTGACTTTCACTTTTGGACCTTGATTTCCCTCCTCAYCTTGGGGTTCAACTCCCACTTCCCGAGGTTGTCATGCTGATCATGTGGCAAAGGCTCTGGCTGGGCCATCGTGGGGCTACAGGACAGGCTGCCCACCTATGTGGGTTGCTGCATCCCCTGCCACAGGGCCACCAGGACAGCAGCCCCTGTCTCCCCTCCACCCCCCGGGGCCTCCTTCTGTCCTCATGAAAACCCTCTGTGGCAGTGGCCGGAGGGGACCGTGCTGAGTGCTGAGCCCCAACCCCACTCCCTGCTCCCTTGGAGGCTCGGGTGGAGGTTCTGGTGCCAGGGCACCTTGCTCCCTGTCCTTCCCCCAGCGGCCACAGCCCTTGGCACGATGCCACACTCCAACAGCCCGTGGTGGGTGCCATGAAGTGAAGGTGTCTCCCAAAGTTCATGTGTTGGAAACTTAATCCCCAAATTAATAAATCAAARGTGTAAAGTTGGGGGCCCTTCGGTGAAGTCATGAGTGTGTGCCCCGCCCCCGCATGGCATGAGTGGCTTTATGAGGAGAGAGACCTGACCTGGGTCTCTGTCCCTCCACGTGGCTGTCTGCCTTGTTATGACATAGCAGGAGTTCTCACAAGATGCCACACAGATGTCTGCAGCGTGCTCTCGGACTTCCCAGCCTCCAGAACTGCCAGCCAGATAAACCTCTATTCTTTATAAACAACCCAGTCTCAGGGACTTTGTTACAGCAACAGAAACCAGATTAAGAATGAGTAGAGGACACGAATAGGAGCAAGAAAAAAACGAGCCTTTGGAACCACAAGATGTGGGGCTGGCGGTCACCATATTCTGTCATGATACAGTAAGCAGCCTTTATTCCCATGGGAAGGATGCGACAGCTGAGAGAGATGRCTTGCTTACAGAGGGGACCTGGGACCAAAGGTGGGATTTGGCCAGAGGAGGTACATTTTGATTCTTTCTGGGGGAAGCACAGAAGTGACAGGTGCTCTGAGCGCAGGCTTCTTGCTGCCCCAGGGGGTGAGTCTCGCTCCCCCAGCGGCAGCTGTAGATGTGGCCAGAGGAAGGAAGATGATTCTCTGTTCTGGGAGGACCAGAGTCTAGACTCCACTACCCAACAGGTGGGACTGCACTGAGTGTCTGTCCCTGCTTTCTAAAAATGAAAACTGTCCCCGGACCCACGAAGGCTCTAACGCAGCGGGAGGGTGGGGTCTGACTGGCTCTTGGACTCCCCTGTGTCTTCCTGACTGAGTGATGGCGGCCTGGCAGGGGAGCGGGGGAAGAGGGACAGACGTGGCATGGATGGCAGTCGGGAGCATCAGTTGCTGGGACTTTGCAGGGGCGGCAGGGACCCCGCATGGGGGAGGGTCCTGGTCTCAGACCCTGGGAGAACCCAGCCTCCCCCTAGGTCCTGCCCTGGAGGACCAGGCCTGGGCCGTGTCCGCTGAGGTCAACAGAAACCCTTGACCTTGGTCGATTCTTCATATATGATTCCTCTCCCAAACTGCCCTACTGCCCGCCTCCTGTTTAGAAGACCGTCCAAGGAAACCAGAACCCTGGGAAGGCGTGCAGACCCGAGTCCAGAGCCAGGAGAACACGGGGGGCATGGACACTGCTGGCCCCTGCCCAGGTCCCTTCACATGTCCCTGAAATGCTGCGAAGAGCTCACGGCGGCTCCTTTCTTGCAGAATTTCAATCAGAGCTGCTGGACACGCAGGTCTCTACTCAGCCACCCGCACCCCAGGGCACCAGTAGCCGAGGACGGGGAGGGCACAAAAGGCCACCCCACGGGCTCAGCAACTCCCAGCCCAGGAATCCCCACGTCAGGTGACATGCCAGCTCCCAAGCCCTCTTCTGCCTCTCCATCCTGTATCCCGGGAGAGAACCCAGGAGGTTCTAAGCTTAGCGACAGGAAGTTTGTTCTGGTRAAGGGAACCCAAGTTCCCTCTCCTTCTGACATCGAACTGTTCCTCTGAGCTCAGAGCTGCTCCAGCAACTCCATCTGTTGATCAGATATGGATTAGGCACCAACTGCATACTGGTAGCTGCTTAGCACTGGGGGACTCAGTGGGGTGCGAGAGAGTCCCAGTTCCCACCCTGACCTTCTGTCCTAGGTCAAAAGGCTTCCCCGACACCCCTCAGCCCCCAGCCCCGAATGGCAATCAATCAGTGGAGGACACGGAACCTTTAAAATGCTTTTAATTTCTTTTAATGTATAACGGTTACGCCTGAGTTACAGAGGCAGCGCTTACAAGCAGCAGGTAGTTAAAGCAAATACCAGTTTCTCTTTCTAGTCTACTATTCCATATAGCTGAATAAATTATGGTGCGATTATATTTAAACACATACCCTCACGCGCACGCACACACCCACGCACACCCTCTCCACGCACACACTCTTCCATGTGGAGGAAAACTGTTGAGAGTCAGACACGGGAGCCAGGGTGCTGCCGTTACAAGGAAGGAGGARTGATCTGGAGTGTGATGTGGCAATTCCCCAGGTCAGGGGGGTTGGCCATGTCCAAGTTGACAGAAGAAGCCTCCAGTACACAGGTGTCTTGGAGCATTCAAGGTGGCGGCTGGAGTGCGCCCATTTGGTCTTGGCTTGATGCTTCTGCAGGAGGGGAGGAGAGAAGACCTGTGTACCCCGACAGCATCCAAGATGGAAAGACACGTTCAGGAGCTTGAGGAGAACACCAGCCCGAGACAAGATCCAGAGAAAGATTTTAGCTGGCCAACATGCAGTTCTGGGTTGAGGTCCAAGATCCCAACCCCACAATGTTTCACCAGCTCCATCTGAGACCACCCTGGGTTGCTGGTGGCCTGCTCCAAGTCCAGGACCTGTCCTGTTCTCCGGCCACGGTCAGGTGGGACCTCTGACCTCCGCCCGACGTCGGGCCAACCCACCTCTGTCTGCACTCTTCTCTCCCTTTACCTTTTTCCCCTATTTCTCGGCTTCCTCTGCTCTTTCAGTTCCTCTGGCAAAAGAGCATCAAAAGTGAATCAAGTAAAAAATAAGAGTAGAAGAGCATACCTCGGGTCTTACACGTCACTTTTTTTTTTTTTTCATAGCAAGAGAGAAAGACCAAGTGAAAAAAAACAAAGCAACAGAGTGAAGGAACTCAACAGAGCCCGGAATGCATACATCATCTGGAACACACGATAGGCAGATATATCCCTACAGATGGTCCCTGGCACTAGCACGACACACACTGTGGGGGTTTTCTTTCCTTTTTTTTTTTTTTTAGTATATATATTCATATATAAAAAGTCAACTTCCTATAAACAAACAGCACGTCACCACGTTTCCAACTAATATCCAGTGGGCTCAGGAGAGGAGCCCCCGTAGGTAGGACCAGTAGCTACTTGGGACAGTTGGAGGAGACATCTCTTCTCTTGCTAGGGACTCTATTTACAGGGACGGGTGGGGTTGTTTCTGGGCTGGCCTGGCCACTGGACTTCAAGGCCTTTTTCTAGGCTGTGGTCAACCCCCAGGGATTGAAGCTTCGAGCCTCTCGTCCAACCAATATCACTTTCTCAGTGAAGCTGCAAGCTGCCAACGCAAGGTCCAGTTTTATAGACGGAGTTGGCGAGACCACAGATACACGGGGTTTTAGGGAATATCGGCTGGGGGTTAAGGGTCCCCTGGAAAACCAGTGAGTACCATTGTCTCCCGAGACGGTGGCTTGGGAGGAGTCCGAGGTGTTGGACACTGTAATGACAAACCGCTGGGTTGACTCCCAAGCAGGTCTTGGTTTTGTTTCACGGTGGGGGCAGATCATTGGGATTGGTCCTAGCATGGGAATGTCACTATTGGTGCTGGGCTGGGCAGTTTTGATGTCACCTGCCCGAGAGCCCTGCTCCTGAGTCACACAGGCTGTGAAGGGACTCAGACGGGTCCTGAGCCGGGCCTCCAGGGAAGGACTGGCCATTAAGGAATGTGGACGAAGATGGTGTTGGTCTTCTGAGCGGCCTTCTGGCTGTGACAGCTACAACAGCGTGGACTGCGCTTCCAAGGGACAACAAGATCTTCCCTTTTGTCCAGAGCTTGAAGAACCCAAAGTCTCTTGGAGTGGATGCTCCAGTTGGCTGAACCTGACGGGCCACTGCTGTCCGGGTGCCCACCGCCACCAAAGAGCCCATTTGTCCTCAGTTATCAATTGGTCGCTCTAAACCGCAGGGTATAAGCCGTCCTGGTCAGGGCTCAGGACTGGCTTGGTGTGATCAGTTCTCACGAAGAGAAACAGGTGAGCATGGTCCCACAGGTGACGTCCATGCGGACGAGTGTCCTAGCTTCTTGTCCATTTGGCCCTCCAGGAGGAAGGACCTCAGGTGAGCTCCCAAAGCAGCATCCCTTCCCTCTAGGAATGTCTCGTGGGCTGAGGGCAAGAGGCCTGGACGGAGCAGACAGGTGGCCTCGCGTGCCCAGGTGGGGACAAGCAACGGGGTCCAGTGTTTGTGGATTCCTTGCCGTGTCCCCCATCACAAGTGTCCTGTAGCCGGCCGCACTGGTGCAGGTGAGCTGAGCGGGGTGTATGAGAGGGTGAGGGGGACGGTGGACCGTTTCCATGAAGGTGAAGGTGGGAAGCGCCCGGGGAGGAGGGGCAGGGCGTGAAGCCGAGGCCCCGGCTCTTGGGAGAGCAGAGCTGGAGGAAGCCGCTGGAGYGCTGAAGGCAGGAAGGAGTCTTTTCTCCTCTTTTCTAGAACCTTCTGCGTCTTCCTCTGCCCAGGCCCAGGGTTTGGAAATGGCCAACATGCACCCAGGTCAGCTGGACCCCATCAGGAGACAGAGGCCTCTTGGCCCAGAGCGAGTCAGCGCTGAAAGATGGGTGGGACCAAAACGCCAAGGGGACTTGGCAGGCTGATCTGGAGGGCAGGCCACCCCTGCCCAGTCCAAGACCCTCCTCCGAAGCTCTGGCGGAAGCCCTGCGCCTCGGCCCATCYGGGGCCCGCGGCGGGAAGATGGCGGCCTTTCCTGCAGCAGGGTGCAGGGTGGGCTCCCGTCTCTGAGGAGCCTTYGTGGGGATCCTGACTCCAGGGAGGTGGACGTGAGGCCAAGGGCTGGAGCGTCTGGCCTCCCTGGCTGGTCGCCCTCCAGGGAAAGGATTTTGGTCAGGAAAGTCCCTTCCGGGCCCACCTTGCACCTCTTTGCTGGKGACTGTCCCCTCTGTGTCCCATCCGACCCCACTGAGGAGGGAGCTGAGCAGCTTCGCAGACCGCCCCCGGGGTGGACGCGGCTGGAACTGGGCTTCGGTTGAAGAGCCTCTGCCTCCTGGAGCCTGAGGTGGGTGCTGGCGCTCTGGGCCAGCAGATGTGGCCTGCAGTGTGACCAGCCTGCCGCCCCACAGCCCCGGCCCTGGTCGAGCCTCTGCCCTCTCCCCGGTCTCCTCAGCAGGGCTGTGTGGGGAGGGTGCTGAAGTCCTCCAACGTCCTGGGTGAAGTCGAGACCGTCACCCGCTGACTCCCTTGGGGAGACCCCGGGGTCCCCTCTGCTGGAGCCCCCGTGTCCTGAGGAGGAGAGAGCTGTGGTTCTGGTGCTGAGCCAAAGATCCGCCGTGGCGGGGGGGGGGGGGTTCCCAGCACTGGTAGCTGACGGGGTCACCCGAGCTTCCCCTGCCCTCTGGCCAGGGCACCCCGCTGCAGAACGCAGCCCACAGGGTGGCATCGCAGGCTCCGTCCCGCTCCGGGGCCGAGGTGCCCTGTTSGGAACGGGCCTCAGTCTCCACCCTGGGTTCTGGGGGTCACAGCAGATCTGAGCAGGGGACGTTGCAGGGTGGCCTCAACCCTTCTGGGAGGGACTCCAAGGGGCCATGGAGGGTCCCCAACCACAGGTGACTGACGGGAGGGCTGCTGATGAGCAGGGGACGGGCTCCCTTCCTGGTCTCCCGTGGCCCCAGGGGGATGAGGGGGACGGAGGCGGAGGCTCAGGGGTCAGGAGGGGGTGGGCTGGGCCTCGGGCTGGGGCAAGTCGCCCCAGGAGCCTAGTAGGCCTGGCCAGTCTCCACCGGCAGGAGTCCCAGCACCGCGGAGTGCTCCCCGAGCTTCATGCGACGCTGCGTGGACAGGCTCACGTTTTTGGCCAGGTAATCAACAGCAGCTGGAAAAAGAGAGAGAAACTCCTAGAAATTGAGGTTCTTTTGGTCTATCTTCCATTTACTCCATCCATCCATCCACCCATTCATCCATCCGTCCATCCATCCATCCACTCATCCATCCACTTATCCACCCACCCATCCATTTACCCCTCCAAATATCCATCCATCCATCCATCCATCCATCCATCCATCCATCCGTCCATCCACCCTTTGGCCATCTATCCGTCCATCCTGGCCTTCTCTCCCTCCTCCCCCTCCCTCCCTCCATCCCCCTCTTCCTGAAGCTCTTCTCTCACCTCCTCCCCTGCACTCGGCACACAGTCACCTAACATTTAATGTTTATAGCTTTCTGGTGGGTTCTGTAGGGACAGAATATGGAGGGGATCCACAGTGTCGAGGGGAGAATAATTGCCTCTTCCCACCAGCCCTCTGCACACCCCAGCTGCRGGGGATGACCAGGGAGTCCCTTGAGTCCAGGTAGCAATGCCTGCTCTGGACCCTAGCCCAGCTCATGGGTGAAGCCAGGCAGGACCTCACACAAACACCAAGGCAGCCTCGTGGGGGAGCTGAGGGGTCCGACAGGAGGAGGAGCCAGGGCCCCCGGGGTGCAGGGAGCCAAGCCTGCAGCCTCTGGTCATGCAGAGGAGATGGACGAGCCTCTGAGGATGTGTGTGCGTGTGTGAGTGAGTGAGTGGTGCGCACTCGTGTGTGTGGACCCTGTGAACAGAAACAAGAATCTCCTTGAAGCAAGAATGAGGCTGCGTGCGTGTTCACGCCCACACACGTGAGTCAGGCACACCTTTGGGAGTAGATGACAGAGGAAATGGCTGGGATTGTGCAGGTGCTATGTGCCGTGAGTTGCACCTGAGCCAGGTGCACGTGTCTACCTGTGTCTGGGTGCAGCTGTGATCAGTGGCCTACTCCTACGACGGCTCTGGCTACCCTCAGTAAGGCCAGAGCAGAAATMAGGCCTGACCTGAGAGCTCCCAGGCAGGGGGCGGAGGCCTCCTGGGACCCAGAGATGCTGCCCTGCAATCCCCTGGGACCTCGGGGCACCTCACTARGGGACTAGCGTCCAAGGCCCGGCCCAACACCCACTCCAGCCCCCACCCCAGGGGTCACTACTACGTTTCCCACTGTGGGAGCCTGCTGCCTAGAGCAGGTGGGGGGCAGGTGATGGACACGGGCTGAGTGGGAGGGCAGGGGCCTCCTGGACAGTAGCTGCTGGGGGCTGGATCACCTTGTGGTTCCAGTGACCCAGGTTCGAGTCCAGAACCTGCCACCTGAGCCTCGGTGTCCTTGTCTGTAAAATGGGGCTATTTATTACCCCACGGAGGCTGCAGAGTCCACCGAAGGCTGAAGGACACACACAGGTGTGGTCAGCTGGGCCTCCCCCSTCAGGCCGTGAGCTCGGCCATCGCTGGCTCAGTGTGGTAGGACCTGAGACTGGGACTTGGTGAGCAAATGTGACCTTTGAAAGGGTCAGAAAGGAAAGTGGCGACAAAGAGGCGGCCACCTCCTGCTCATGTGGCTTTGGGCAAATCACTGTTCTTTGGTACCAGGATTGACTCAGGGGCACTCGGCCACCGGGCCCCACCCCCAACCCTGTTTTGCATTTTATTTGGAGACAGGGTCTCCCTGAGTTGCTTAAGGCTTCACTGTGGCTGAGGCTGGCTTTGAACTTGTGATCCTCCTGCCTCAGCCTCCCGAGCTGCTGGGATGACAGGTGTGGGCCACTGTACCTGGTGCAAATCCCTCTTCCTCTCTGGGCCTGTGTCCCGTCTCTAAATGGGGAGAGCAGACTCCAGCCAGCTCTAGGCTGCTGTGAGGAGGGTCACACGACATGACGCTCTTCTGGATGCTGGGCACAGAAGGCCTGGGCCAAGGCCCCCGGGTTCCTGAAGGATGTACCAAGACCCCCGAGTCCCTGGGAGTGTCTGGCCTGTGCCCTGAGCTGCCAGGCTCCAGGTGGGTGGTAGGAGGGTAGGCCCCTCCAGGGTCTGAGGAGCCCCAGGGGCAGCCCACCTCCTGGAGTCCCCAGGGGCAGCCCACCTCCCGGGGCCTGGAGCAGAGGGGGCTGTGGCCTGCTGCCTGCCCTGGACCTGCCCCTGCCCTGCTCTGGGGGTGGCTGGTACACTGGGCCTGGCCTGCAGAGACCCCCGGCTCTGGCCACGCCGCTCCCCTAGCYGGGTGCCCCCCCAGGAGGACGCGGTCTCAGCGGGGTGAGAGGACGGGCAGGAGGAAGAGCTGGCAGTGCCCAGAGCTCGGCCCTGTGGACCCGCTCACAGCACCGCGAGCTCTTGGGTCACTGAACTGTCACCCCAGCTCTTCGAGGCGGCTGGGTGAAGAGCCCCTTCCACACCATGGAGCTGACGTCCTGGGACCAACTTGCAATGTCACACAGCTCCCAAGTCGGGAAGCCAGGCTGCAGACCCAGGCAGCCCAAGGCCCCCTCCCCAAACCCCACAGCGTCCCCAGCGGCCCCTGCAGAATGACCRGGGAAGAGCGTGGGGGGCCCTCTCCACCCGAGACTCACGTGGGTCCACTCCTTCCCCAGGCAAAGCCAGTGACATGTCCAAGGTCACACGGCCAAGTCAGGTGGCCTATCCCCCGTCACAGACGCTGCTCCTGCTCCCCGTGTTCCACACGCACGAGGTGGACAGGACCCCGTTCAATCTTTCTTTTTTTGGTGCCGAGGATGGAGCCCCGGCTTCCTGCTCSCGGTCAGTGCTCTGCGCTGAGCTGCGGCCTGGCCCCGTTCAATGCTCCCAGCAGCCCCTGTGCCTTAGGAGTGACGGCCCCATTCGGTGAATGAGGACCCAGGCACAGTGATGGCCCAGAGTCACACACAGCATGTGACATGGAGGAGCCTGAATGGTCCCTGGTGTACCTCTAGCCACTCTGCCTCCTCCTCCACTTCTCTGAGCCACCGGCCCGTGGCCCAGCACACAGTAGGAGCTTGCCCAGGTCCTGCCCTGTCAAGGTGGCCGAGGGGCCATCAGGAAGCCACACTGGCGACCCAGCCAACTCCAAGGGCACCCCGCGTGCCTGCCTCTCCAGGGTGGAGGCGGGGCCGATGAGGGCAGGGCTGTGACATTCCTCGTTAGGGCCTCTGCCAGGCCCTCCCTGTCCCTCTGTCTCTCCATGGCTCCCTTCCCCTGCCCCACGCCGCGCCTGGGCTCTAAACGTCTCAAATTAGATTAATCAGGCGTTGGCAGGAGGGTGGCCGCAATGCCAACGCGTAAACAGACACCAGCCGTCAGCGCTGCGTCAGCCGCGGCCCCAGAGGAGGACCCGTCCAGACACAAGTTCTTATTAGACTTGTCAGATCGATTAAAATCCTCTCCACACTCCTGAGCTCTATCAGTGCATCATTAGCTCAGCCCCGGCCTCTGGGAACACCGGGGCCAGATCAATCTGCCGCGCGCCCCATCTCCGGCCCCTGCCCCACTCCCTCCGGGGACAGGGAGGGACAGATAGATGGACGGACAATGGCCCGACAAGAGAGGAAGGTGTGACCGTGTCCCGGGAAGGTGGGAGGCTTAGAGAGGACTCGGCTGCATGGGGGTTTGGCCACGTGGGGTCCACACACACCTGCGGTGGCCCTCCAGAGAGGGAGCACACGCCGATAGCTACCCCTGGTGACCTCAGGCAGAGAACCTCTCTGGGATGCTGTTTCCTCACCTGTGCAAGGGAATCACCACGTGCTGCCCAGGGTGGCCGTGGGGATGGAGGGCAGGCCACAGTAGATGCTCAATAAACAGTCAGTCCCTTCCTTCCCACACAACCTGCTGTTTCTACCTTGAATCAGCGGACTCACATGCTGGTGATGCACTCGGATCTCAGTGGACCTCAGTGTGCATCTGTGGGTGTGTGTGAAGCTGTGAACACAAATCGTGCACAGGAAGGCCTAGTAGGTGTCGGTAACTGAGCGTCTCACACCAGCTTATGGCTTAGGGTGGCTGAAGTCAGGAGACCCTGAATCCTCCGTTCTCCTGCTGTGGGACCTTGGGAAAGCTACCTGGCCTCTCTGATCCTCATTTTTAAAACTGTAAGTTGGAGACAAATCGATTTGAGAAGTACATGAACAAGGAACATGGGTTTCATCCGGTGTCCCCTGGACTGGACTCACGCCAGGCAGGTGTGAACGGTCACAGGTGACCCTGGGCACACGTGGCAAGCTCAGAATGCGTGACTCTTGACACACACCGAGAGCCCAGCCGCAGGGTGTCCAGTGGCCTGTGGACCTGGGGCAGGTTAGAGTGGAGAAGGGGGTCTGCCCAGGAAGCCAAGGGCCAGGGAGAAGGCCCCATGGGAAACTGGAAGGCAGCGGAGCCTCGTCCCAGCCCCTTTCACAGGTGGGAGGACTGAGGCTGCAGGCGTCAAGAGCCCACGCCAGCGGGCAGCGGCGGTGGGGCTGGGGAGGGTGGCCCAAGAGGAGCTCCAGCTCTCCCTGGAGGACCCATCGGGGAACTGGAGTTGGAGGGGCAGGAGGAGGAAGGGGGAGAGGAGGGGAGAGAAGGGACAGGGCTCCTCTCGCCTCCCGGGCCCCTTCCCTTTTGATCCCCTCCCCCGCTCCCCCCCGCGCTGACTCCGGGGTTAATTCTATTTCCGAGCTGGGCAGGCGCCCTGGAGCAGGGCACGGGCTCCGGGTGTGACTAACGCCTGCCCCGGGCCGGCTCTTGATCAAGAGCATGTGTCCCGCTCCGTGCAGGGACATGCGCTGGGTCAGCGGGTCGCCAGGGCCCCTCTGGGAGCACTCCCCGCGCACACGAGTGCACCCTGCTCCTGAGCACACACACGTGCTCCCATGCACACACATTCGCACGGTCACACACAGACACGCCACACACGTCCCCCCCACACAGATTCAAACACGTGCTCCCACCTGAAGGAACAGCGGCACACACGTAGGCACACCTGCACACGCTGCTCCTTCTGCAGGACCACGCGGTGACTCGAGCACACGCACACCAAGCACGCGTGCACGCGCGGACTCKCGCGACCCCACGCACACACCTGAAGGCACATTGGAAACATGGGCGTGCGTGACTGCCACCGAGGCGCCCGTGCATGGGTACACACGCGTGTCCGTGCACACAGACCCACAGGTGCACCGTGCGCACACGACGCCCTTCCTCAGCAGGTGTGTGTGGAGTCGCCCGCCCACGTTCCCCCACGTGCTCACCGCGCCTGACACGCGGACACACAACTCACCCGCTCTACGCAGATGCCAACATACTAGGACACACAAGCCTGAACTGGGTCACTCGTGGTGCCACCGCCACACTCACCCAGATATATGTGTGCACAGGAGCGGGCTCACMCACGGGCAGGGCCACAGGAGAGGAGGGGGCAGGAAGCGGCACGCAGGCCRGGCGGGTGGAGAGGGCGCCCGGGGTCGGGGGCCTCACCCCCTCCCTTCCCCTGCTGATTAGTTTGACACCAGCAGGTGAGGCCCTGGCCAGGAGGTAGGGCAGGAGGGGGCCCGGTGACCTCTGACCCCTGTCCCGTCTGGGCCTGCCCTGCCTCGGGCCCCATCGGGCAGCCAGAGGCCGTGGCCAGGTCCACCCTCCCCAGCCTTTGGTCTGAGAGTCTCCTGTCCCCTGTCTGCAGATGGGTTCCAAGAGGATGGCATCGGGGGCGGGCAGGGGACAGCAGGCAGCTGGGGACACTGAGGCTGAGGGGTCGGGCTGGATGCCAGAGATTCACACACAGCTGCCCCAGCCTGGGGACAGCACGGGGCAGGGCCTCACACTGTGCCACCAAGCTGGCCACCACGAGCCACACGCTGGCTACTGAGCACTCGAATATTGGCGAGCGCAGCCAGGGAGCCGAATTCAGAGGTTTATTTAGTTTTTATCTCATCTAGATTTGAAAACCCGTCGTCCACTGAGTCATTTCATGGCTGGGAAACTTGTCAGTCTCTCTGAGCCACCTGAGTGTGTGAATCTACTTCCCAACTGTAGACTTTATGAAATTTCAATATGGAGAGAGCATTTCTGTTCTTTTGCCGTCGTGGGGAGCGAACCCAGGGCTTCGGGTGCCAGACGGCACCCTGCTCCCGAGCYGTCCCCAGCCCTGGGCTGTGCTTCTCATGCAAGTTTAGTGTCTGAATTAAAATGGAAAAACAAAACGAAATGAAATGAGACAAAACACAGTGCCATCAGGTGAAACACGCAGCAGATATCAAAGCCCAGCATGGAAGACACAATGCAAAACCCAAAATTAATAACCGTTTGGGGCTGGGGCTGGGGCTCCGTGGGGGGTGCTTGCCTGGCGCACGTGAGGCCCTGGGTCCCATCCTCAGCACCACAGAAAAAGGAATAAATAAATAACTAAAATAAAGCTATTGTGTCTGTCTACAACTTAAAAATCTCTTAAAAATGATGATTTTATGTGCATTGCATGTTGACGTGATCATCTTTCAGATCAGGTTCAATAAAATACGCCAGGAAAGGTCATTCCGCTCTCTCTTCTCTGCTAACGCCACGGAGCGCTCGGGGCTGTGTCCTGGAGGAGTCGCACCGGGGCCCGGGCAGGAGACAACTGGACTTGAGGCTCGGCTCCTTCGTGGAGGCCGACTCTGCGTCCCTTCTGGACCTGGTCTGCCCATCTGCGAGGTGCCCCCCCACCCAGGGGCCCGGGGACACTCACTCTGGCCGTACTGGCCGTACTGGTAGCCGGCCACGGGGTCCACGCCGTAGCCGGTGGTGCTGTAGGTGGGCGGGCAGTAGGACTGGGAGGTGGGCAGGCTGTCTCCAGGCTTGATGGCGTCGGCCCTCTGGCTGCAGCTGCCCGAGATGGAGGAGGCTGAGTCCAGGCCGCCGTGCAGCGGGGAGATGGAGAAGTCGGCCTGAGGCTGCGGGGGCACGGCRCTGGGGCTGCTCAGGATGCTCATCACCTGCCGAGAGACGTCAGTGCCCGGGACCGCCCACCAGGACGGAGGGCGCCGGGGCCTGGCCTGGTGGGCGCGGGGCGGCCTGTGCTGGAGCAGACCCCTCAAGGTCCCTGCAGCCTCTGTGTCCCCTTGGGAGCGACAGGGCTGCTGTCTCTGCTGCTCTCCTGCCCACGGCCCAGCCCAGGGGTCCCCCTTCCCCTGAGAGAGCCTAGGGCAGGGCAGGCCCTGGCGCACCTCTTTGTCCCCACGGCCTGGCTCAGGGGTCACCCCGGGCCTGGCTGTCAAGGGGCCAGGAATGAGTGTGTGAATGAATGAACTCATGGGGTGCGGGGTCTCCCCCTCGTCAGGCACCTCCCCCCAGACCAGGAAGGCCGACCTCTATCCCTGCAGAGCAGCAGGACACTGGCCGAGCTTCACCCACCTCTGCAGAGGCTGGCTGGGCTCTGGACTCCCRGCCTTCCTGCCTCCTGCCCTGCCCCTCCTCAGCATGTGGCCGGTGCTTTTATTGTATCTTATTGGGGGGGGGGGAGCAGGGTGACTGGGGACTGAAGCTCGGCTCTACCACTGAGCCACAGCCCCAGCTCTTTTTACCTTATTTAGAGACAAGGTCTGGCTGAGCCACCCAGGCTGCCCTTGAACGTGCCCTTGCACCTCCCGCCCTCTTCCTCCTCAGCAGGTGTGTGTGGCCCAGCAGCCAGTGCTTAAGGTAGCTTCCTGGGGGCCCTGTTTTGACTCTGGCAGCTCCCTGATGTCTGTGACCATCACCACCTCCCGACTTGGCCCGGGGACAGCAACTGGGATGTCCCCTCAGTGCTGGCCCTGGGACTGACCTGTGGGGCTTGTCTGTAGAAACCGAGCTTCAAGGAGCTGGGGTTGGGATGTCGGGATGAAGGTCACTTATTCATTCAACAAACAGGCACCACTAACAGCTGGCCCGGCCCTCAGAGCCCTGGGACTTCAGAGGACAGAGTCCTGGTGCCTGCCCCAGGTGGGGAATGGAGGGAAAGGTCCAGGCTTGGGGATGTGACACACAAGGGCCATCAGGGCCATGGAGCACTGAGGGACTGGACTGAGACAACTCAGGGCCGAAGAGCCCACGGAGGGCGTCCCGCCAGCTCAGGGGTCCAGGAAAGCTAAGCAGAGTCACCTGCTGAGGAGTGGCCCCAGGGGACAGCAGACCCTGGGGAATGAGAGGGCAGCGTCCCYACCCAACCAGGGGAGGACAGACGGGTCCCGTCTGCAGAGCCCAGGACTCCAGTGACCTCCTGCCACGGCCACCCATTTGGGGAGGGAGGGCGCCAGGTGGGGACAGTTCCGCTATCACCAGCCCCGCTCAGAGCAGAGGCTCCAGACGCACAGCCCTGTGCTCTGCCTTCCCGGAGACCCTCCTCAGGGACAGCAGGCTGCGGGCACCTCCTGAACAGCCCACCTGCCCCGTACGTGCATGGCCACGGGATTTGCTCGGGCCGCAGAGGCCTGGATCCCTCCCGTGGGAACCTCGGGGGTGTCCCTCAACTGCTGTGACCATCTGTAATCCTCAGGGAAAAGGGTGACGATGTCCCTGACACCAGGGTAGCTGAGGACGGAGTGATCTTGGCATGGAACAGGCTTTGCCTCCTTGGTGGCCGTCCTTCCTGCCTCCCCTCCTCCTGACCACTGACCACCACGCTACCTGCCCAACCCAGAACCCCATGGACAAGAGTGGGGCGGAGCCAAGATGCCCATCTCTCAGAAGAAAAGACTGAGGTCTGCAGAGGCCGGGGCTGCCCCAGATCTCAGAGCAGGTCTGCAGGCCTGCTGTCCAGGCCCAGGCTCCCCGCCCAGGCTCCCCACTCTCAGGGCCAGGCCCAGGGCCAGGGCACTGCTGGGCTGTGGCCTGGCTGGCCTCATCTCCTGTAGCTGTGGGGATCCCACCGAGGCGTCCAGGAACCACTGTGTGTCTCTGGGTTCTCAAGAGGGAGCTGGGGAGGGTCCTGGAGCGGCCTCACGGTCCACCCAGGGCTGCAGGCCGAGCTCTGCAGTGGAGCCGGTGCTCTGCCCGCACAAGGCCCTGGCTTCCACCCCCAGCACCAGGGGAAATAATCATAGATATCTATTTAGAGAGAGAGAGAGAGATCATAGCCTGGTTTTGGGTTGGAGACGCAGCTCCGTGGCACAGCGTTTGCTTAGTAAGCACAAGGCTCTGGGTTCAATCCCTGCACCCCAAAAAAATTAAAAAGAAAAAAGAAAAAGAAAAAGGCAGGAAGGAAGGAGAAAAGAAGGAATGGATGATTCCTCCCCCTCCATTCCCTGCCCCACACAAACATGGAGCCTGCTCCCTCCCCCTGGGAGAGGAGGAATGGGGACCGGGAGGACCAGGCTGCTTTGGAACCGCAGCTGTGCCTGGACCCCGTGCTCAATTTGTAAGACAGAGATCTGCACAGAACGGCCACCAAAGGGACCGCACCCCTCAAGAGTGACGGGTGGCTCCCAGAACCTCCCCGTAAAGGCTTCTCGTGATGGGACCTGTGCCAGCCTGCCCCAACTCCTCCCGCTCTCCAACCTGGTAACGCACAGCCCAGCAACGCCAAGTGTCGCTCCCCTCCTTCCTCCATCTATTCATTCAACAAACATTTCTCAGGGTGCCACCGTGTGCCGAGCTCTAGATAAGGCGGCGGGGCTCTCTGAGGACAGGACCGAACGTGTTTGACCATCTCTACCGCCCACGGCCCACACCGTGATCTGGGAAAWGCTCTGTTGAATCCATGTGTATTCAGTGAGCACCTACTATGTGCCAGACCCTGAGCCAGGCACTGGGGACAGAGCAATGGACGATGCTGATTCCACACCCGACCCAGGGAAACTGAAAACCACCAAGTGTGTGGATAAATAACCTAATTTCTGTTCCTGCTAAATGCTATGGAGGACAAATAAGGGCATGTGGTGGTTGTGGGGAGCCAGGAAGACACCCCCCCCACACACACACACACCCATGAGGGAATATCCAGAAAGACCGAAAAGGACTAGCCATGGAAGATGTGCAGGCGAGCTTTCCAGGCAGGGGCATCTGSAAGTGCAAAGGCCCTGGGGTGGGAACACACCCAGCAGGTATAAGAAATAGCAAGAAGGTCAACGTTGAGAAGAAAAATCATGGCAGCTGCCAGGCGTCCCGCAGCCCTTTGTCAGGAGGGGCTTGTGTGGTGCCCAGTGGCTCAGAAGGCCTTGGACCCTGGCCGTTAACAGGCGGCTCAGAAACAGCTTGGGCCCAGGGAGCTTTTCCTGTAATGGGATTTGCTCAATGGGATTTGCCCTGGAACATCAAATCAAATCCACATCTGGGGTAGGTGTGAATGGGGGAGGCGAGCTATCGGCTCCGTCTCTCCCAGAGTCCCCGGAGGCCTGCGGATCAAAGGGCTTCCATTTCATCCAACCCCCTGTTTCCAGGCAGAGCTGCTTCCCAACAAATGGGACAGGGCCCGAGTAGAGAGGAGGGAGGGGTGCTGCCGAGAAAGCCAGGCMCCAGCCGTACCCTGGTCACTTCCAGGGCTCCCCAAGCAAATGGGCTATTACTGCCCCCATTCTGCAGACGGGGAAACTGAGGCAAGGGGCTGTAAACAGACCCCCTGAGGTCAAGCAGTGGGAATTACAGAGCGGGGACTTGCGTGCATCTCCTGGATGCCCAGCTCTGCTCTTTCCCCATGGGGGGGTGGGGGGGCGCCGAGCTGAGCTGCTCAGAGCCCCGCCAGCCCAGGTGGCCCTCTGCCAGCCTCGGGCTCGCCCAGGGACCTCTGGGAGTCCCTCTTTGCCCACAGAATCGGGAAGCGTTTTGCCCACGGTGAGGGGCCCGGCTGAGGTCTGGGGCCTGCAAACTTTTGAACTTGAGGAAGTCCTGGCCTGGTGCGGTAATCCACCCCCTCAAGAATGCCGCGTCTCTGCCCGGGTGGGTTTGCCTCCTTCCCGGTGACCTTGCTCTTGCTAATGTATTACTTCTTGGTACGTTACCGTTACTAACTCAAAATCAATACCGACCTCCACATCTGTAAGGTTTTATCTGAAGGCAGATCTCGGGGCTGTCCGTCAGGCTGACTGACAGCCGTCCCTTCCTCTCCCTCCCCCCACCCCTGCCCCCCCCCCAGCCCCTTCCCCTCCCTCTGCTCCAAATCAGTCCCAGCCCGGACCAGACTAAATCAATAAGGGGCCAGCCTCACCCTCCCTTCCGCCCGCTGGGGAGAGGCTGGCTGGTTTCGGGGGTGGGGACCCCCCTTCCTCAGCCTCTGCTCACCCCCCTCCCCCGGGACGCGCGGGCGCGCTCCCCGACTTTAAAAGAAGGGGATGGGAAAATGTAATTAATTCCCTCCGTTCCTGAGCTGGCCCCGGGGCCTGGGACGCGGGGACTGAGCTGGAGGTCTGCACCCTGTGTGATAACCGAGCGTGGCTTTGGGAGCGCGGCTGCAATTAGAAGGGCCATCGCCACCGTCCTGGCTCCGTGGCAGGATCTGGGTGGGTGCAGGGGGGCCTCGGCAGGGTGCAGGGGAGGAGGCGGCGCAGGGACCTGAGCCTGGGGGGCCGGGCCCTTGACAGCTGGAGGGGGAGGGGCCTCAAATCGGGCCAAGGACCCCTGGGATCAGCTGCAGGTCAGGGAGCGCCCCCTCCTCACGGCTAGAGGGGCACCGAGGCCCTGAGGGGGACCCGTGAGGGCCCTTGGTCAGTCGGTGCTGGGCCGGGGGCTTCTCTAGCCGCCAGGTTCCCCCGTGACTGCTTTAACCCGCYGGTTCAGCCTCAGTCTTCCCGTCTCTACAGTGGGGTCACGCAAAGGACTAAATGAGTAAGTGCACAGGGAGTGCCCCAGAGGGGGCCTGGCACCCGTCTGTCCCCAGGGAACCCGGCTGTCTCCTCCCCTGCTGGCTCCCCTCAACCCCTCCCCAAGGGGACCTCCTCTTTGTCATTGTGGCTTCACAGGAGGCACCTTCTGGAGGAGCATTGCTCGGCCCCCAGGACAGGTCTGCCACCCCCCAGAGCCCGGG